ATTTGTTTTGTTGGACTGGGTTACTTGAGATTTGACAGTGTCTTTTTTTTTAGAATTACAGAACAGGGCGGGGGTAACATATAAAACATGGTGGGGATAATACAGAACAAGGTGGGGGTAACACACAATAAGGTGAATGAAAGCATAAAGGCTAGACATGCCTAAGAGACTTTGGCCAAGGGGGTTCTACGAGAAATGTTCTTGACTGGTGAGGGGCACAACTGGCCACTCTCATTTATTACTGATCATTGTTAGTTGGACTTTGTAAGTTCATCAATTGAATTAATGTCAAATTATAAATTGTGTTGCATATCTCTATAGTATTCAAATATTAATTTATATAATAAGTTAAAAAATTATCGCTAATATAGCTAAATTTTAATAATAATAAAAAAAAAAAAACCCGAACTTCTCAAAACCTCGTCCACACCCTTTTTCTCAATTTTCATCATTTTTAAAAGAAAATACCATTTACAATAGTCTTTTTACTGTAATACTTATCATCTTTACGGTAAATATAAATACCATTAAACATCTAGTTAGCATTATCATATAAAGGATACTGTAATATTTTGAATTTATATTACGGTATATAGAATACCGTAATATGTTATAAAACATTTACGGTACTCTTAATACCGCAATGCTTTACTTCCATCATTGCTGTTGCTGCCTTCATCAATTTGATGTGATGCGGACACATTGTTGCGAAAATTCTTGAAATAAATTTCAACATGCATATATATAACAAGGCATTTGAAGATTTGGTGTAGGTTGTAAGTTGTTTTAGTTGAATCTTCAAATAGCATTGCAGTGCAGTGCAGTGCAGTGCAATAATGATGAATTTTATGCGCAAAGTAACCATTTTAAAAGAAAGGACTTCCTCTCTCTGGTAACCATTATCTAACTGTGGCCATTCCTTTCATCTTCGCATAATAAATCAGTGGGCAATATACAACACACATTTGCTGCATCCACTGCTCAGCCTCGGTAGACGTTTCAGCACATTACGGTAACCATATTACCCTATAATTTGAAGGACGTATCACGGTACTATGAGTAGCGTAATGTCATATGAAAGTAAACTCTCTTCTTTATAAGAGTATATATATATTACCGTATAGATTTTTGTAAATATTACTGTATTTAAATTGCCGTATTTCTATTTATGGTAAATAGACTATCGTAAAAAAGTAGTTTAGAGAGAGAAAAGAGGTTCAGAGAAGATAGCAAGTGGAAAGAAGTGTGCGTAATCTATTGATCCACCAAAATGGCCCTCTCAAAATCCATTGCTCACCATTTTATTTCCTAAAGATTATATAAATACAAGCTCTTCTTTCTCCCCCTTCTTCCACAGAAACAAGAACCACATAATATTTGCCCACCCCACCCTACATTGTCGCCGTAGATTTCCATTCAATCTTCAAGCAGCAGCAACAACACCCCATTCTCTCTCTCAAGTTGAAGACACGTTTTCATTGTTTCACGGTCTTTGTGGATTTTCATTGCCGGGTTTCTGGCTCTTTGTGGGCTCTCTTTGTGGCTAGAAAGGGAGGAGAGAGAAACAAGTGAATTTCTGGTTTTGTGTTGTTGGGGAAGAGACAGAAAACGGGAGGTTTGCTACGGGGTGGAGAGACGACGTGACTAGAAACAGGGAAAAGAGAGAAAATGGGAGTTTTCAGTAAAAATTGTTCCCCTTGAAACCCTAATGGGCTCCCTAACCATATAAGTTCGCAGATCTTTATTGCTTGGAAGAATGGATGGTTCAGAATTACCATACACCCCACCATGGTGTATTGATAATACATAGGATCATTTCCCTTTCTTTAGTAATGTTATTTTCTAGTGTTACTTTTTATTGTTATTATATAGGGTGCGGTTTGTATAGAGACTAGGCTCTAATCGAGCCCACCTTCAAATAGTGTTACGAAATGTAGTTTCAATACTGAAAATATTTGTGATAGCTTTAAAATATATTTTCATCTTTTATTTCTAAAGTTTAAAGCTTCAAAAATAGTGTAGATCGATAGATCTATGAAAACTTGAAAATCTTGAAAATTGAGGCTCAAAAAATGCATTACAAAATACACTATTTTCAAAACTTGAAATCTATTTTTTTTTCTCATGTTCATGCATCTTGATGTCAAGACGATCAATTTGAAGATATTTGGGCATCAAAACAACCTCTTCTAGTAAAATTTTTGAGGTAGGCTCAAATTTGATTGTTTAGAGCCTCGGCTCTATGTAAACTTTCCCTTATATAAAACAGTACGGTTTGTACAGAGCCTAGGATCTAAACAATCAAATCAGAGCCCACCTTCAAATAGTATCGAGAAATGTGGTTTTACTACTGGAAATCTTCGTGATAGCCTTAAAATATATTTTCAACTTTATTTATAAAGTTCAAAGCTTCAAAAAAAGGGTAGATCAACAAATCTATGAAAATCTTGAAAATTGACGGTCTAAAAATGCGTTACAAAATACACTATTTCCAAAAACTTGAAATCCATTTTTTTCTCATGTCCATGCATCTTGATATCGAGATGATCAATTTGAAAATATTTGGACATTAAAACAACCTCTTCTAGTAAACTTTTTGAGGTAGGGTCAAATTTGATTGTTTAGAGCCTAGGCTCTATATAAACTTTTTCCTATATAAAAACCCATCTTGTACATACTGTTAAGTAAAAAAAAACAAACAAAGGTCAATTTGGCAGTTCAAATTGCTATCTTTGAACGAATAAAAGTAAGTTTGCCATTTTTTTTAGGCCATTTAAGTAAGGCTAACCAACGTATCCTTAAATTATTTTCAATCCTAAACAAAAACAATTAGTTATTTTTAGGAGATTTTTTAAGGAGGTACATAGTAAATCAACTTAGAAAAGGGTGGGGATTCTATACGGTGCCCTCCTTATACGGTAGAAGTAAGGTGCGACTCTGAAATTTGCTTGGCGATATAGTTTTTGTGTCGAAAACTTTACGATGGTTTGAAAATCTATTTGCTTCCTTAAACACAAAAGTTAAAATTTTAAAAATAGTACAACTTGAGCAGATCAATTAACACTTAAAAATCTTAAAAACAGAAGATCCATACAACTTGTTGCAAAATACATTATTATTTTTTTTTATAACTTGAAATTTTCTTTTTCTTCATATCCACAAATCTCAAGTTGAGATGATCAATTAAATGGTTCCCAACATGTCAACACTCTCATTTAGTGTAATATTAAGGGGCACCTTAATAGCATAAGTTTGCAAATCTTATATAAGCTTTTTCTTTAAAAAAATAACTCTTTTAGGGCGTGACTGATAAGTAGAAGTTTTTGGAAGTGGGAGTTAAATGTCCCACTTCCATGTTTGATATTACTGTGTAGAAGTTGTAAAGTAGAAAGGCGAGCCTTCCATGCAGTTTTTTTTTAGTGTTAAAATGGGTTCATTTTTTGAATACCTCTCTTCCATAAAAAAATGATGGAAAAACAGTCTTTCATCATTTGTGGGAGAGCCCATTCCACTCTTAAAAACTCCATGTGTCAAATACATCCTTAATGTTAAATGGGATGATTTGACCACTTTAATTATTTTATGAGGTGATTTGACCTTTTAATATATATTTTCCTTAAAACAAATCATACAAATCTCTACAAAACAACTTTTAGTGTTGGAAAATTTTCAATTGATAAATTCGACATCATCGATTGGGCATCTATCAAAAATCAATTCTAAACACTAAAAATAGTATATCTTATATTATATTATTCAGACCAACTATTTTCATGTGTTTATAAATATGTGAGATTTGCACCAATTAGGGGCTTCATAGCTAGATGCAAAAATAGATTTTCAAACTATTTTAGAAATTTTGGCACCAAAATTCATTTTTAGGTAATGTTTTGAGGGGTATTCCATTTTTTCGTTATTTCTTTCATGATTCATTTTTCTTGCTTGTTGTTTGTTCGCTGTCAGTTTTATTTTTCTCACTCTTTATTTGTAAAAAATCAACCCCTCAAATTTAGAGCTTTCACACACACCAACTTCTATAGTTTGTCTCATGCTACTTAAGTGGGGACTAATTACCAAAATGATTGTTTTGATTATTTGGGAGTCTCATGTTACCGACTAAAAACAATCAGGGGTATTTTTGTTATTTGATTCAAAAAAGTTCAATGAGACTAAATTATCAAAATACACTTGCTTGTTAAGGTTCTGGTCCTTTAATGAAAATCTTGTTATAATTTTTCAAAGGTATTTGAGTGAAATAGAACTCACCCTCTTTATGTTACCTATGAGGATTTAGCACCTTCAATAATACTAGAAGATAATTAGTTCATTATATTAATATTTTTTTATCATTATTATTATATATATTTTTCTAATTAATTAGAATTGACTACACAAATTTACATAATTAATTGGCCATTAAAGTTGTTTCCGAGCCCTAATCCCTTCACAACGTCCACAACGTGAATTCAGGTCCACGATGACAAATGCGGATCCACAACATATATGTCTGGATAAGGTAGCAAAACACTAACAAAGAAAAAAAATAGAGCTCTAAATACACAAAAGAGAGGACCCAATTAAGCTAAGAAGAAGAAACATGGCCTCATTTTCTACATTTTCTTGTAAATGCTTTCATTTTCCTCCTGGGAAAAGGACCCTGCAAGCAAAGGCAAGCCATGGCTGTGCAACCTTCTTGTTTGCAGCTCTCATGTTTTCCTCAGCAGCTCCTCAATCTGAGACTTTATCAGATATTCCACCTGTTCTTTCAGGTGAGAGCACAGACGATCCAAAGCTTCTGTTTGCTTCACTTTTTGCGAATTATTGCATTTGTGTTATTTTCTTTGGATGGATTCTTGGTTTTTTGTTTTTGTTTTCTTGAGTTATGGTTGGTTTCTTTGAGCAAATTGATTGAGTTTTGCAGGGGAAGATGGGAAGGCAGCAAGGATACAGAAGCCGAAGTCGAGAAAGGCGGAGACGTGCACTGTGAGATGCGTAACGACGTGCATTCGAGGAGGCGCGGGTTCACCAGGAGAAGGGCCCCTTCAAGCCATAAGGTTCTACTTCACAATTCCATTTTTATTCAATTCGAATAATTTGAAACCAATTTGAGGTTGTTTTGTTGAAACTGTCAATTTTCGGCTTTTCAATGGAACCTAAATTTGGCCAGAAAATTTCAAATATGCAGCATAGTAGGCAGTGCAAGAATAGTAAATGATTACAATCAAGCAATCAACTCAGAGAATTTGAGTAGCATCAATTTTTATTATACAAAAAAAAGTGATTTATCTTGAATTAACTTAAACTGATTCAGAATACATTGGTGGGGCACCGTATGCTTGATGGTTTTTGACTTTTTGCAGGCCCCTTGTGGTTTTCAAGCAGGGCTTCAGGAGTCGGCACTACTGGTAATTTTATCGCTTTCCTCTCTAAAGACCACACCTTAATTGTAGTGTATTTCTCCTCCACTTTGTAGTTTCACAGATTAGGGCAGTGTGAGAATTGTTTCAGCCAAGGTGCCAGGACTCGCCCCTTGGCCAAGGTGAGTTACTCGACTGAGTATGAGTAGCTCGCCCGAATCTACCCCGAGTAAAAAAAATTTAAAAACATTAGGCTCAGAAACTGTCAAGGCTAAGCCAAAACGCTATTCAAGTGTTCTCATATTAAGATGGATGGCGTTCGCGGCGGTCGAACCTCAACCATGAGGCCCAATGACTGTAAAGATTAACCTAGAGCTATTCGAGCTCTTTTAAATAAAATTAGACATGATATTATTTGGGAGAAACTCACCTCGCCTATAGGACGTGGCCAAGTAACTTGGCCAGGTCCTAGTGGATTTGGCTGAGTCCTGTCACACTAGTTTCAACTACTGTACTGATATGGTTGGTGAGAAAATTAGGTAGAATCAGCTTAATATTAAGATTTGGAGTAAGGGAATTATTAGTTGTGCTTTAAGTACTTTAATCAGATAGGTGGGAAGAGAATTGGACTTCAGCAGTTAGTGTGATAGAGCAGTGATCTAGAACTCATGGATTGCTGCTCTGAGTTTCTGAGTTGTTCGGACTGAATAACCGGCCTATTCTCAAAGAAGAATCATGGAATTGGCAGTGTCTTATTGGTTTTCAAGGTTTTCTTCTTTAATTTTTCATTGAATTAAACTCGTCTGAGTCTAGCTAGGACTCAACTGAGTAGAGTTGTCAGACTCGGCTTGCGACCTAGGGAGTCCCAACTTGAGTATGTGGTTTAAACACTAGAAAGAGGGGGGGGGGGAATTAACTTACATAGCTAATTTTATTTTCATTTCTCTTCAGCTTGCTTGAATGCTCGGATATATGCAACCTCATCAAAGACGGCGATTTCTGGCCTTGAAAGTTTAATTTATATCACCATGTAATTTGAGGTCATCAGATAACTACATGTATATGTTACACATCTGAGATGGGCTGAGTTTTGGGCCTGGCAAATATTTGCACATATTATTGCTAAAGAATCTTCTTTCTAAGTGAAAGTGTGCTCTTTCATGACCATGCTTGGCTTTCGGCTTCCTTATGAGATCCCCTGAGCTAGTCTCTGACTCAAAACGCCTTGTATATAACCAGTGTTACATAGACATCAATGCGAATTGTCAACATGAATGCGTCAAAGACATGCTATAGGTGTCTAGTTCCTCTGCAACTATAGAGATTTTAAAGCAAATATTTATATTAAGATAATAAAATGTGTTTTCTCTTATTTGGTCATATTCATTGCTAGCTAAGCAGTAGATCGAACTAGGCTTCTCCCCCAAGTTCAAGCTTTTGCAAAGATGTTTGAAAAATCTCCATCCATTAAATAGTCAAACCAAACCAGTGCAAAGAAAAACAGAGGTCACAATGACCCTCAAATCGACCCTTTTTAGTGCAAAGAAAAACAAAGGTCACAATGACCCTCAAATCGGCCTTTTTTGAGTGCCAAATATGAACCTTATGGGTTGTAACCGAGAATGGGGTTGGGGTTATGGTGATAGTAGCAGTAACACCACTTATACTTGAGTTAAGGTTTAGGATTCTATTCTCACTTAAAACTTTCAAAAACTACTAGCAATTTTAAAAATTGGTAGGGGCTCGTCAACCCAACTAAATTATCCAAAAAAAAAAAAGACTTATAATATTACTTGGACCAGGAGAGTCGCTAATCCATATTAGGAATCGCCGATCATGATTGGCCAGTGATCTGCTGGTTCACTCCGCTTATCCACGTTTTAAACACTAGATGATAACATATTTTTTTCCCATAGGAAATTGGGAAGTGTATTGTGATCCATGTGACCCGATATAAATGTGGAAACTAGGGTCATCCAATTGTGAATTGGACAGAGATAGGTAGAATGGAATGTATAACTAAAGGGTGCAGCAAGCAAAGTAAGCATACCTTCAAATAGTATAAAGAAATGTGGTTTAAATCCTGAAAATCTTTGTGATTGTCTTAAAATATATTTTTATTCTAACTATAAAATTTCAAACTTAAAAAATAGTGGAGATCGGTCAGATCTATGAAAATCTTGAAAATTGACGGTCCAAAAATGTATTAAAAGATTAACTATTTCCAAAACTTGAAATCCATTTTTTTCTTATGTCCATGCATCTTGATATGTGGTTTAAATACTGGAAATCTTTGTGATAGTCTTAAAATATATTTTTATTTCTAACTATAAAATTTCACACTTAAAAAATAGTGGAGATCAGGCAGATCTATAAAATCTTGAAAATTGACGGTCCAAAAATGTATTAAAAGATGAACTATTTCCAAAACTTGAAATCCATTTTTTTCTCATGTCCAGGCATCTTGATATGTGGTTTAAATACTGGAAATCTTTGTAATAGTCTTAAAATATATTTTTATTTCTAACTATAAACTTTCAAACTTAAAAAATAGTGGAGATCGGGCAGATCTATGAAAATCTTGAAAATTGACCGTCCAAAAATGTATTAAAAGATGAACTATTTCCAAAACTTGAAATCTATTTTTTTCTCATGTTTATGCATCTTGATATTGAGACGATCAATTTGAGGACATTTGGGCATCAAAACAACCTCTTCTGGTGAAATTTTTGAGGTGCATTCTAATTTTTATGGTTTAGCGCCTCAGCTCTATGTAATCTTTTTTCATAACTAAATCGTGCAATGTTATATTGGCCTACGGTTTTTTTTATGGAAAAGTATATAAAAAGACTATTTACTTTTAGTCCAAGGAGGGCACCATTACTCCGGTTTGTCGCGTTTCAAATCCAATGGTTGTAAGAATTTCATCAACTAGATACAAAATTCCAAAAAAAAAATTTGAACTTCGTGATACACCCCAAATTATCGAATTTTATATTTAATGATTAAAAGTAATTATGACATCCTTGTAACATAGATAAATGGTCTCGTAATACATAGTCTCATTTCTTTGATTGGACCATCACAACGTTATTGCGGTATATTTCGTGTACTCCCATGGACCATCTCATACTTTTCTCTAATAATGTATCTCTTAACGTTAAGATCAAGTGGATACTTTTTTGTTTTTTTTCTCTTTTTGGGAATTTTACGTACAGACCCAATATAAGTTTTGCTATTGAAGAATGACCCATATTGGGATATTTTATGGTAAGGTCTCAAATTTTTTATGTTCTTTTTTTCCCCTCATTTTCCCCCTTATTCAAAAGCCCAATATTCAACCCGCCTAAAACACAAAGATGAAAATATAACTATCAAACCACCCAAAGCACACAAAAAAAATTGGTGTTTTTGGGTGGTTTGAAGTCTACTTTTGAACAACCCCAAAAAAAAAAAAAAAAAAATTTAGCTTGGACAGCCCCATGAGAACAATTTTTTTTTCTTGTGTTAAAAAAAAAAAAAAAATTCCAAAAAATCTCTGTAAAAAATATCATTTTAAATAGCTCTTTTGCCCAAGGGATTAAATATACAAATATGCTTCCCTAGCCGATCTCTAACGCCTTTCTCCATTTATATTATTTTTCTTTTTTTCTTGAATTCTACAAACTCTGAGGCTACAGCACAAAACTTCCCACAAGTCAACCATCAAAACCTCATAGCTTCCATAATCTCCAATCTTGCTATCTCACAAAACCATTTCTCCCTCTTATCATCAAATCTCTTTTGGAAAATACCTTTTGGATTTTCTTTTGCAATAAATGGGTTCGGTAACGGAGTGGTACTAAGACACTTTGACTACGAAAATTAGCTTCATATGTTCTCATAATCATCATTATCCAAGTTTTAACCCATTTATTTGAAGTCGGCTTTTAATATTCATAATAAGATGTGACAAAATTTTACGCTGGCTCCTACTTAACACAATCCACCTCATTTATCCGGACTTAGACACGTGTTAAAGGAAAGTTTAAGGTTCTCACCTTATTAGACCATAGATTTGTGAAAGGAAATACGAGCTCCTTTATCTAGACTTGAGATGTGTTAAGGAAAAGTTTAAGGTTCTCACCTTTAGACAATAGCTTTGTGAAAGAAAAGTATCTATTGCAAGCTTTGTGAAAGGAAAGTATATATTGTCTACCAAGTTAATATGGAAGGTGTATGTTATATTCAATACATATATGGGAAAGGTAGATACATTATCTTGTATTTTACGATAATTTTATGATAAGTTTGGGTATAGCATAGGCATATGTTATTTATTTATATTCTTGTCTTTTGTATTTGTTTATATAAAACAAATTTGTATATTCATATTAATTAATGGACACTGAGTCTAAAACCTAAGACTCTTCACATGGTATGAGAGCCAGATTCATATTCGATCAATCCATTCTTATAAGATCGAGTATGTTACTCGATCATGTTCTTTTTTGTACGATCGAGTTTGTTGTTCTATTATTCGATCAGATCGATCTGTTTGCGAGCTACTGAATCGATCATAAATATGCATTGAATTATGTTGGTACTTCTAAGTGTCATTTTGTTTTCTCGGCCGAGTCGACTGTTTTTTTGTTTCTTGAAAAGATTTGAAGCTTTTGTTTGTTGCTCAAGCCTACTCTATTCAAGCCTTATGTTTCTAAGGTTTGTTGATATATCGTTGTTTGCCTGCCCTGTTCTGATGTTCTTCTATATTAGTTGATCAAGCAATTTGAATATACAATCAGTACATATGGGAAGGCCAGATATAATATCTTGTATATGTTATTTATTTTTATTCTTATCATTTGTATTTGTTTATATGAGACAAGCTTTTATATTCGCATTAATTAACGGAAACCTTAGACTCCGCATTTTCTCAACCTTAAAAATTATTCCAATTGTCATATTGCAAAGTTTTTTTTGCAGCTGCACTTTGTCCTCGAAAGTTGCCTTTAAGATGTGCCACAAATAATTTACTCGCCAAAAAAAATGGTCGACATGATCTGAGAGTCATAAGGAAAATCGAGCAGTCAACCGACTTCTCTCTCTCTCTCTCTCTCTCTCTCAACTTTGATGCTCCAAACCCAAGAAGGTTTTGTTATAGAAGAACCCAAATAAATGGTCGACATGATATGGTCCAAGCATTTTTCAGCCCCAAGTTTCTATAGCCGATGAAAATCGAGCAGTCAAGCTCTTTCTCTCTCTCTATCTGAACTTTGATGTTCCAAACCCAAGAAGACTTTGTTATAGAAAAATCCTAATTTATTTTCGAAATTTTGAAATTATTTATTATGTCTTCCGTGTGCTTACTACTTTATACATATAATCAAATTGAAATTTGGGGTGTCCATACTTTTTGTTGTCACACAATGGTAAAAAAATATAAAATAGTAATTTAAAAGAAACAAAATTACCAAGATATGTATGAATTGGTAAGAGTATTTTTGTTATTTTTTATTATTAAGATTAATATTATTTATTTATTTAGAGGAGCATGATATCGAAAATCATGGGTGCCCCAAGTTTGAGCTTAATATAATATATGTAAAATATAAAATTAAAGATCATGAAAATGGAACTTTTGTGTAAAATATAAAATACAAAATGACTACAACCAAATTCTGAAATAGAATAGAATTTTTCTACATGTTTCCGTAATTTCTACCTAGTTGCTAAGGTCCTAGTGGATCAGGACATTATTATTGTCTTGTTTAATTGCAAAAAGATTCAGTGTTCGATGGCATTCCCAACACGAAGGAATGAGAGGGCACTTTGCTCCTACATCCAAACATGCCCTCTTAACGTTTGGCTTCTTCAACAATTCCTCCAAAAGGCAAATCGGCCCCTCTAAAGAGATCCCCTTAAAGTGCTTCACATCTTGGGTAAAATTAATGACCTCTTGGGCAAAATTAATGACCTTTTCTATTTCAGATATTTAAACCATTTTGATTAAGCAAAGGAACTTTTGTCATTTGTTTGGGAGAGTCAAAAAAAAAAAAAACAAAAAAAAAATGACACTTGTTAGTTTGGGATTCTCAACTTTAAAAATGTCTAATTTGGATATTTTTAGAAATGTGAAAAATGAGAGAGAAAAATTCATATAACGTGTTAACGTAATACTATTGAAGTAACGTGCACCTCAAAATCCTAGAGAAGAGTTTTTTTTGTAGGATCAGGTCATGAACCAAGTCCATGTCCATGTTTTGGACCTAACGGGTTAGGTTTGAATCCAAATGACCAGGACCCAACCCGGGTCTGTTCTTGGTCTAGCTCTGGCATGGATCGAGTCCGGGTCAATCTGGCCCAGCATAAATACATAAAATATATAAATATACATATTAAATAATATGCAAAATAATTTTTATTCTTTTTAAATTTCTAGACACAGTTCTAAGTGGGGTCTAAGCCCAAATGACTTGGAGACCTAGATCTTGGCCAACCAGATTGGATCCGAGCTCACTTGGACCCAACCCGGATCTAGATTCAGGTGAAAACTAGTTGGCTCAAGGTCATCTCATATCCGACTCGACCTGTTGCCAGCCCTAGGGTTTTTCTACATTGAAAAACCCTTCTTGATCATCTTGATCTCAAAATATATGAATATAAAGAAAAAAAAAATTTCGAATCCTAAAAAAATACATCTTGTATCAAGTTATATAAATTGTATACATATGAATATAAAGAAAAAAAAAAATTTCGAATCCTAAAAAAATACATCTTGTATCAAGTTATATAAATTGTATACTTTTAAGAATTTTTAACTATTTATTGGTCTGTTTGATACTTATCATTTTTAAAATTTAAAATTTCATAACTAACTAGTGACGAGAAATATATTTCCAAACCAAGTTTCTACATTGGACTGCATCTCCCGGCTTCTAAGCATAAATAGGACGTCTCATGTAAGGGAAAGGTTTCTATGCTTCCCCTTCTATCCTCTTCCTATCATCCAGCCGTCCAATTTTGATCAAGAGAGTTGTTCACCATTTGATCTTAGATCAGACGTCTCAAAGTATCTTATTTTTAAATTTTTTATACAAATTATATGAATATAAAATTTGATACGTGCCATCTTCTCATTGAAACGCAACTATAAAAAACATTAAAAATAATTTTTTGATAAAATATAATGGCCAAAATACCTCTCAAAACTTTCAAAAGTATTTTGATCATTTTATTTTATTGATAATATTTTTTTTTATATTTTTCACTAGTGCAAATTTAATAGAAAAACAGACGTCCAAAATTTGATGTCAAAATAATTTATAGAAAAAAAATTAAAAATAAAATAGCGTAAAGACGTGATATTGTAATTAAAACAATCTTAACCTTCAATTCAAAATGAACAAAAAAAGGACAGATTCTATACTGTAGGGGAAGCATAGAAAGCTTGCCCCTCATATAAACTTTACCCGACAATAAAACATGAAGATGTCCAGGCCAACATTGATAATTGGGCCTTTCACGAGACCCACGTGAAACGACTTGAGCATTGCCCAGGCCAACATTCCTATAGACTCACTTGACCAAGTGAGCCTAATTCACTTTTTCATTTCCTGATTTTTTTTAATTTAATTCCTTCACACATTAATGTCCTCTACTTCTCTATCTCGTCTACTCCATAGCGTAGGGATTTTTTATTTGACCCTTGAAAGAGGGGATTATTAAATAATTTTTTTAATTTTGTTTCTATTAATTATGAGCAGGAAACTAAATCAAAATAAATAGAAATATAAAGCAAGTGTAAAAGAAGCGGAACATCTATTAGGAAAAGAAAAAATATGCAATACATCATCTTGCGGGATTTTGACTGAAAGTTTTTAAAAATAATGAAAAGTATAAATAAAACTTTATATTAGGTTATTGATGGGTGTCTTGACGAGTCTAGACGGTCCAAAACAATCACATTGACTTATTGAAAACTACATAAAATCATGGTTTGTTACAATTTTAGTTAACATGATTTTCATGGTATTTTATTAAATCATGGATGTGGTTTTTATCAGATTGCAACCTTAAACAATCCAATTAACATGCACTCCTAAATTTTATCATGACATGAAATTTTGATGTAAAAAATTCTTAAGATTATCTAAAATCTATTTTTATTTTCAAATATAAAATTTTAAACTCCAAAAATAATTAAAACAAAATAGATCTATGAACCTATAAAAATCTTGAAAACGAACGGTCTAGATAATGCGTTGCAAAATGCATTATTTTTTGAACTCAAAATCTTTTTTTTTTTACATATTTATACATCTGGATGTCGAGATGATCGATTAGAAAGTCTTTCAATATTAAAACAACCTTTTGATTTTTTAGGTGTATATGCAATTTTACATTTTAAGGTTGCTGACCTTATATAAACTTTTTCCTTTAAGCATACCTTATAATTTCTATGTACAAGTCCGAAAAAAACCATACCTTATATTTCCATTTACAAGTAGGAAAAAAAAAAGGGCTGCTCTTCGGTCTTTATTTAACAACCATCGAGCAGGTTTTACTACGGAAAAGCGTAATATCCAAACCTAGAGAGAGAAAGAGAAGAGAAGAGAGAGAGAGATGAGAGGGAGGTGGTCCTCTCATCACAGCTTTGAACGTGGCGTCCATGGGCTCTTGATTAAGGAAAAGGTAGATGAGGCCGGAAACATGAATGAAGGTGGACGTTGGTCTTCTTGCTTCCTCTTCTCCTCACTTCCTCCCATTGTTTCTCTCTCTGCCTCATCAACCATCTGAAACCCAATAAAAACATGATAATAAAACCATCTTATATTTATGCAGGTAACACTTCAATACAACGTTCTAAAGAGGAGGGAAACGGAAATTTTTGCAGATCTCTATTTTATTTTGGGGTAAAATATTTCTGGTAAATTTGATATTTTACATTTATTTCCCCTTTTTTACTCTTTTTATATATTTTTTCAAAATGCTATCCATTCAGCCCTCCACCAACCTTAACTTCAGTCCGAACCACAATAGAGTCTAGTGGCAATCTACACTCTGGAGCACTTCAGCTCAGTTGGCACTGGGAGTGACGACCCGCACTTTGAGCTTGGTAGCCCCTCTATTTGGCAATTCCCCTTGAGCTTCGGCACGGTTCGAATCGCTCAGCAAAACCCAAAATGCTGATTGGCGCCCCACTATGGAGCTATGAGGCAACTCTAGACCTGAGCTTCAGGTCCGGACGGCACTCCGATCACGCACTCTGAGCCAACTTGAGCTTCAGGTCCAGTCGGCACTTAGCATTTTGGAGAAAAAAAAAAAAGCAACATGGGTGTACCGGAAACACTGGACATCTGCAAAAAATTCCTAAAGAGAGAAAAAATAAAGAAGTCTACAATAAAAAGGAACACTTTACTGTTTAAAAGCAATGGAAAGCTGCACCGGAAAAGAGTATTAACTAATAGTCCCATAATCATGAAAGTAAATCAAGACAGAGAGCGGAGAAAATAAACTTCCATATGACAAGACATATAGATAGAGAAGTAGTTAGCATAAATGGAACAATTAACCGTCGCTAAAAGTGATGGAAGATTTTAAGAGCGAGATCAAATACATTAGATATCACAAATGGATCAATTACCACTTAAATACAAAACATTAAATGAATATTGAAGAAAAGAAGAACACAAATGGAAAGCGTAGTAATAAAAAAGTAAAGATAAATAAAGGACGCTAAACTTCAATACCAAAAGGTAAAAACCAATATCTAATACACCGAGAAAAAAAAAAAAAGGAAAAATTTTAATCCCATGAAAAAATTCAACACCAAACAAGAAAGATAGAGAGAGATGAAAAAGGGGGGAAATTGGCCCTATTTGTTTTTCTTTGTCGCGCCCAAGTATTGTAGTGAGCCTTCTTAGTATTCTAGAACTCGGGCAACTAGGCATTGTTCTCGTTGAGTACACTGGCTCCTACCCGAGCAGGTATGAGAATTCGCCTCCGCTAATAGCCGTGGGAGTGACTCAGCCGAGTCCGAATCGATTCGGCCAAGTTTTCAAACCTTGGCTAGTGTACATGCACACTAACTGATTCTCAACTTCGATGCACAAAGATAAGGGTAACAGTAGACAGAGAATAAGAAGGAAAACAACACTCGTATTACATAAATGTATTGTTGAGAGGAGAGACATTCTTTAACCTTGGTAGTTTGCTGCGGAGAGAGAGAAGGTATGATCTCGGCCAAATGATTCTTGAGTTTTTGCAGAGCGTCCTTTGTCATGCCCTGTGCAGCCGCTGTGACATCCTTGATCAACGATTCGACGAATAGCCGAGCATTTTCCAGAGCCTCCGCAGGCACAGGCACAGGAGGAGCAGCTAGTTTCTCCATCAATCTCTCTTTCATATTCGTAAAATTCCTCCTTATATCAGCTGCTACCCCACCTATCCCTTTGTTCCATAAATTCACCTGGTCTTTATCCTTTTCCTCTTGAGTTTGAATTCTGATTGCAGTGTCAGGAAAGTAGAGCTTGCCCTGGTCTATGTCATCTGATATTTTATTGCTCTCTTCTCCATTTTGCATCTGGATTTGATTGTTTGAACTTGTCATCTAGGGAAACTTAACCTGAAAATTGAGATCGAGTAAAATAACAAAAAACCCAATCTATCAGCCAAAACAACTATACCAGAAAATTTAACCAGGATATATCAAAATATGAAAAGAAGCCAAAATCAATAGCAAATTATCCAAGAAATCCAATATTGGAATTTCCAAAAACAAAAAGAAAAAAACCAATATTGAAATGCTAGAAGAAACTAATTTCTGTTGAAACCTGTACAATTCTTCAGCCATGTTACCTGTGAATTTCCTGGGTTATTTGTAAATTCCGGTGGAAATGACACTTACATTTATGGCGATAAGGGAGAGTGTTGTGTGCTGAAATAGGTGGGGGTGAGATGTGGACGGTGTTGGTCTTGGTGCATGCATGGCTTCATAATCATCTCTGGCATACGTGGCATAGGATATGATGCCACGTGGAAGAGCCATAGCATGGTACAATGTCATGGGCCGTAAGTGCCACTGATGCGCAATTTATGTGTCCAAAGAACGGAAGGCCTGCAATCGACGGGGCCGGCTCAGCTTGGTCGGCCCTGCCTTGACTTTGCCCAAGCGTAGTGCCATACTCGCCTTAACGAAACCCATGTCACCATGCTATATTTTATGGCCCATGTCCTAAAGCCGTATTTTGTGACCTCCAAGTCCTACATTTTGAGGGCTAAGTTGCCCGGCCCACTGCCAACCCTAGCCCAAGGTTCATACAAAAAAAGAATGAATAGAAGAACCGTTCATTATTCCATATTAGGTTAATCATCAGGATTCATTATTCCATATTAGGTTAATCATCAGGATTGTGATCCACCCACATGCTACTTCTTTTTGCAAGGCATGAGTGATCCACCCACCTGCTAGTTCTTTTTATGAGGCATAAGTAGAAGAAGGCCATGACCCACCAACACGCTAGTTCTCTTTATAAGGCATGAGCTGGGGAACCGACCTTAAAATTGGGGGCGCTACTAAAACTTCGTTAAACAATCACAAACGTCATGTACAAAGAATCGACAATCCTTTATGCCTAGTATTCAAAGACATGAAAAGACTCAAGCTCAATGGCATTGATCATCTTGCAGCAGTTGAAAACGAGGGATTTCGCATAGGAATGACGTGCATTACGTGAAACACGCATCAAATTTTGGTTGCAGGTGCTGGCTTTTGTAATTGGCAGAACGTGTGAGGGTGGCACGATGGTCAAATTCCCATGGCTGGTGTACGAGCCCCATATGGTCATTTCAAGGGAGAGAACAGCACAACAAATATTTTACCCAAAAGTGATGAACTTTGTAGCGTGCAAAAGAATTTCCCCCATTTCCTCCCCTACTAAGTAACTCTATACTTTAGGAGCAATCCATCAAAAGGAATTGCACTGTGGAGCTTGAAAATAAAGAATTGTGCATTCTCTCTCTCACACACACACACTAGTTGCAAAAATGGATAGCTCTGAGCTCGAAAAAAACTCGAACTTTTAGATGTATTGCTCAAAAAAAAAAAAAGAAAGGCTCTACTGTTAAATAAAGGCGTATTAGATGCAAAATGGATAGCTTTTTATTTTCACCTGATAGAAAAAACATGGCTAGAGATTGTTCCAAATGGTACATCAGATTTATGTCAGCATAATGTTAGCCCTTACCTAGCTTGCAAAGAATGCCAGTGGCCAAACCCTCTCCATACATCTTTTCGAAATATAATAAACAGATCAGCACTGTGAACGATCGCTCAAGCGTTAAAGGAAAAATATGTCCCAATTTAACATAAACAAATTGCATAATTGAGTGATGGCTCTAGCTTTTAAGCAACAAACATATCCCAATTAACTTAAACAGAAAATGCAAGAATTGAACAGTCCATTAAAGTACCTACCACAAAATGTTGGCTACATTTAGATAAGCAAATAGTTTGATGATAAATTGATAAAAAATTCATTAAAAAATATTTTTTATAACAAAAAAATGAAAACCCTTTGAATTTTGAAGGCCCACCCTATGGAAAACCCCTAACACGGATTGGGATGGGTTGATTCAGAGTCTCAAGCAGCGAGCTTCCTTCTCAAATCTGAACCATTCACACAAGTTAGTTAAACTGTGAACCGTCCATATATAAATCATTGATTTACGACGGCCTTATTCAGTCTCCACCTTGCAGCAATCTGGCACCTTCTATGGGTCTGATGATTGATTACTTGAATTTGTCTTCTTCCAACAGTAATCGAATGATAGAGCGCACAACTTCGTTCTCTGTTACAGCGACCTTCTTCTGAAATGAGTAAAAAGGCACCACTAGTAAGTAATTATCATATTTGCAGTGCACACACAATAGGAAATGAACTGTGGATACTAAACAAAACAAAAAAAACAAAAAGAAGGAAACACACTGTGCACACTCGGAGTATGTATGTGTCTATTGACAATAAAGTCAGCAAATTAAAAGAAATATTACAGCGACCAGAGCACGTATTAAAAGGATCAAGGCGCTTGAAATCATACCTCTGGTTTTTGGATCAGTTCATTGAGAATAGAACGAAGTGCTAACCGGAGTTCCTTAAACAGAACTGCAGTCTGTGCTGGTGCTGTCAGTCTTAACCAGCCATCAATGGTAACTAAACCAGTCTGGAACAAAAAATCCATAAATTCATGAATCATACATAGAGAAATTTATTTACAATGAAATTCAAGCACTCTAATAACTACAAAATAATATTATAGTTTGAACTTCTAAACATCTATGTAGAGCTCTTATATTTAACAGCAAAAATGGAATTTTATTCATCCTGCCAGTCACTGCTATATGATGTAACAGGCAGGAGTATCACCATCATAATGATGGTTATAATTGTTTTTTCCCGTATTTCTTTCGACCATGTCAGGAACTGATGGATACCTGATGATGAACATTAATTGGACCCCCAAATAATAGAATAGAGTATGGAGAGATGACACTGGTGTCCCGCAAAAACACTTTACTGGTCTCAACCTGTAAATAAGAAAATTAATTTCCAGCAAAAGCATTTTACCACCAGCATCACCAGTCACATGCATAACTTAAAAAGGGTGAAATTTGTATAAGGTGTCAACCTTATACTATTGAAGTAAGGTGCACCTCTAAACTATGTAAAAAATAGAGTTTTGGTGCCACAAAGCCTTGCGATGATATGAAAATCAATTGTTGCCCCCCCCAATTATGAAATTAAAGTTCCAAAAATAGTGACGATCAAGCAAATCTATAAACACTTGAAAATAATGAAAATGGACGGTCCAAATAATGTGTTAGAAGATGAACCATTTTTAATACTAGAAATTCCCTTTTTTTCATGTATATGAATCTCAAGGTTAAGATAATCGATTTGAGGGTTTTCCAGTATGGAACAACCTTCTCTAGCGGTTTCTTAGGTGTACCTTACTAGTACAGTATAAGGTTGACACCTTATATAAACTTTTTCCACTTAAAAAATATCCACAATGCAAGAGGAACAATGATCAAATTGTTCACTTAAAAAGAAACAAGAGTTAGAATGTTCGAGGCCAGCTTTATACAAGCACATGGTGTACCGATCGTCCCAGTATTACTGTTTCAGCTGTGATGTTGTCGCCTTTCAATCTCCATAGAGGCAACTTCTAAGGTTACCAATAAATCCCCACCAAAAAAGATGCAGCAGGGAAAAGGTTATGGCCTCCTATACTTATAAAGGCACCACAAAGTGGCAACAAGAAATAACGAGGGGATCACTAGAAACCACAAGAGAATTTTTTTCTTTGTTCTTTCCCACTTGTGTAAGAAAGTAGTTTTCCTTCTTGTATGCCGTAACAAATGAAGAGACAAAGAAAGCTACCAAGCATTAAATTTCCCATTGAAATAATACATACCACAATGTATTGGGATTATATACTACGAAACTATTTATCTTTGTTACAAGGAGGTTACAATTACTCTAACCATTAGATGTCAGATTGGATGGTTGGGGACTGTAACGTAGTTTGAGATAACTTTTGAGTCTCAATGATGCTCTTAAAACCACCCAAATTGAAATCTGACAGACAAAAGTGATAAAGACCTCCTGGTACTAAAGCAAATGGTCTCTTTGTATACTTTCCTAATGTAATAACATCATCATCATATCTAAAATGATAAAATAGCTAATACCTTTTCAAGATAAACCAAAAAAGGGTAGCAGAACTGTTTCACACTACTGTTGATAGAAGATGGATGGACGTAAACTTCTCTTCTTCCATCAAACCAGCGTGGGGGCTCTTGCATAGCAGAAGTGGCTGAATGAGTTTGGCTGCTACTCTGAGGAGCCCAATTGCTTCCTTCTTTTGTAGCAGCAACATTTGGATAGAGACCTGCACATAACATTGACTGCAGGAACTGTAAAGAATTGAAGACGGTTGTTTTGACAACATGGCTCCAGAGAAACAGCAGATCATTGATTATTTACTTTGATGCCACTATTGGCAAAATCAAGTAGTAGTAAATTTGCTTCTACATTAACATAAAGGAAAAAGTTTATATAAGGTTGCAACCTTAAAATGTAGAATTACAGATGCACCTCAAAAATCCATCGAAAAAGGTTGTTTCAATGTTGAAAAAAACTCTAATTCATCATCTTGACATCGACATCGAGATGTATGAATATGAAAAAAATATATATATATATTTTGAGTCCTAGAAATAGTGCATCTTGATACATTATCTAGACCGTCCATTTTCAAGATTTTCATATGTTTATAGATCTACTTGATTTTAACCATTTTTGGAGTTTTAAAATTTTATAACTAGAAATGAAAATAGATTTTGAGATAATCCTAAGAATTTTTTTTACAAAAATTACATGTTATGATAAAATTTGGAGGTGCGCCTTAATTGGATTGTTTAAGGTTGCAACCTTATAGAAACCACACCCTAACATAAATTACTTAGGCTCCAATACAATAGGGAACCATCTCATAGTAGATATTCTCTGCAGCTACTTGCATTCAAGAACAGTAAGTTTCCATTTGGGAGGATGATAAGACGATGACAATGGTTTCCACATTTTATCAACACCTCGTCAAATTGAAGCTCCTCGTTAGTAAAATATGCTTTGCAGCTACATCCAAGCTATTTAATAGTCTAAATGTTACATTGTAATCAGTTCCTCCTTTCCCAAACAATGTGAAGAGAGATAAGATATAATAGTGTATGAACAAGTGGAATAAAGCACAAGCATCTTCCAAAAGTATATAGATGTTCATTGTTCAGTACAGAATGAAAACAAAAAATGAAAGATTTACGTTTCAAAGAGCGACATAATAATTATCAAAATAAATAACACTGTAATTTTTAAATAAAGTTTGCTTCAATCTTATAGTCTAGGGAGCCAACTTGGTAGGTTTATTAGATTGCAGAAAAAATTCGAAATTTTCTGAAGACTTGTCTGAGTCATAATTTTTGTTTAGAAGCTCTGCGAGGGGATGAATAAATGGGGCAAGAGCCTTCTACACAAAGGGAAACATGTATGTCTGTCTGTTTTTTGCCCAGGTGCATGAATGTATGCAAGAATATGCAAATATGCACAAAAGTAGATATTAATGTGAAAGAACCATAGACAAATAAATGCACATACAAATACAAAATTTATCTATCCTAGGAAATAAACTTGATCCATTGGGGAAGTGTCAACCATACCAGAATAATTGCAGAATGCTTAGAGTACATATTGAATGGGAGATTTATATCATCAAACCAGCTGTCAAGCTTGTCCTTCGATTTTCCATCAACCTGTTTCATCATAATATACAACAAACTAACCATAAAAAAGGAGAAACGAGAAGACAGATATGACTAACATAGACATCACGAAAGACATCATAAACCCCAATAAAGTCACAAGATAAAAATTAAAAGCCACAAATAAAAAAGCATTAGAATAACACAAGACCAACTCGTAAGTGCAGGACCAGTGAGTAGAAACATATGCCAGGGGCATACCTTAGGTAGATTTATGAACCCAATATCTGCCAACAATGTTCCAAGTTGTATCCGCATATCTCTGTCAGTTCAGAAGATGAATTAGTAAGGGAAGAAATTGTGAACAATACAAATTAACGTCCTCGTCACCAAAAAGAGATTTAGTCAGTAATCAGCATGCAACAAAATGTGAACAATGCAAATTAACATCCTCGGAACCAAAAAAGAGATGTTGGTCAGTAGTCCATATGTGATTCAATAAAATATGAAAGAAGACATTTTATATTTAGCCGTGTGATACATCTTATGAAGTATGAATAAACTGGTATAGACAAACTAGTGTGGAAGTCATAAAAGCAGTGGATAATAAAAAAGAGCCAGTACAAAAAGAAAGAGCAAGCTGATGAAAAATAAGATGCATTTGTGAATATTTCCTTGGGGACAGAAAGGGAAAAGTAGAAAAACGACCATCAACCTTTTTGTTGGTCAAGTGTACATAACCAGGTGAGGGAATCACACTGGTAAAACAGAGGTAAAAAAAGCTTGAGTTCATAGCATTTCTACAATAAAAAGTAATGCTCTCTCTTTTTTGAGTACATAAATGCAACGCTCTCTTATTAATACAAAAGCTGGCACTCCTTGACACATCAATTCCAACTCCCATAAACATTAAATAGGGAACCGCCATAAAAAGGAGCTAAATTAAGGTTTTATTCATGTGATGGGTTTATGTTATTAGGACTCCGAGGATGCTTCGAGTATTTCACGGTATAGTAGTATCTTAGACATGAGGTTAAAGAAGAGGGATGATGTGCCAGTCTCAACGATCTCCTCAATGGCACAAAGTCACACCATACTCTAGTGAACCGACACCAAATTGCACAGAAAATTCAAGGAACTTCTTAGTAATATAATCCAGTTAATCATAGTAAATAAATGAGATCAATTGAGCATACAAAGGAATGAATACTGTTCAAAAAACCTTTATGACCTTAGGATGCCACTGAGGAAAAAGAGGATTAACCTTATTGTGTACATCACTGAGCTGCTCAGAAAGTAAGACCTGCAAAAGTTTTGTGCTGCTCTTGTTCCTTTCTGTCAGATGAGAAATGTCAAAATTAGCCACCATTAACACATCAACAGAAATCAAATCCCAGTCACAACTTATTCCATAAAAATTATAAGAATGACCACATGCAAAGGTAAAAACTATAACAAAATCCCTCTAGGAATTCTAGTAATCATGGTCGATGGGCAGCATCCACACCAGTGTTCACAAAATCGAACCCCAACGGTTAACCGGACATGGGCCCGAGAGTGATTTAACCGGCCTAACCAGTAAACCGGCCAATTCAACCGCTCTAACCGGGCAAGTCCCATATGATCAAAAAAGTGCTAAAAAAATAAAAAAGATACAAAAACATTCTATTAAAATATGAATAGTATATAAAGAATGTGATTAAAACAAAACACACTCAAATGAAGTTGAAAATTAATGAAAAAAATGGATTTTAACGAATCGATTTGTGCCTAGGGGTATTTTTAAATTTTTTTGAAAAAGATGGGAAAATATAAAAGTATCATTGACCAAATGGTTTTTAATCTTTACCATAATGTAAAGAATATTATAATAGTGTTAAAAAAATCAACTTGACCAACACTTTTTTTTAAAAGAAAATGAAGAAAAAGGTAAGTTATATATAATATAGGCCCTTCTTTTTTTCAACTACGTAGTAAATGGTGTATTGGTTAGTGGGTCTAATAATAGAGGACTTGTTTCAAGTTCGCTTCCAGTGGGCAGTAATTTTTTTGAATCAACGATAACTTCAAATAAAAAACGCAAAAACGCTTAAGAGAAAAAACATAGGGAGCAAGATTCGAACCATGATTCACATACAACTTAACTGTCAAAGCAAACCAATAAACCATCCTAATATATGTGATATAAATTTGAAGTAGTATCATATCTAAAGTTTAAAAATATCGGTTGATCACCAAAACTGCCCAAAACCGGAACCGGCCACCAGCCGGTTCCAATCTAACTAGGCGGTTACCTGTTAGATCGGCCGGTTTTGCGAACACTGATCCACGCCCACATCTAACCAAATCCAAAATCAACCAGAACATCACTCCCAACAAAAAAAAATAAGAATCCCTAGATATGAATTCCCCATGTCCAATTTCTAGCTAATGACAAGTTTCTTGTGTCTCATCCTGAAACCAGCAATTCATGAGTCATCAGGTTCAAATTTCCATCCCTATTGCCAAACATTCCACCAGATTTTCCTTTCCAAGGATAAACCCCCACTCTCGTGGTCCTTTATTCGAATGCTCTATGTAATGCTGCTCAATTAGTTGATAACAAGCAATGCCCATATTATGCTTGCCCATGTCCTCACATAGGCAACAGAGTTTATGCTTCTTTTTTCTTTTTTTTATTGGGCTAAGTTGGGTGTTCATTACCCACATTTTCCTTATACTGGACATCAATGTCCCACAGTTTCAAAACAAAATTTCCTCAAATTTCTTTTCTTTCTTTGCTAAGTTCTCAAATTTCAAAAGAGATGTTTTTAAAAGTTATAGTGCTCCCTGAGATCCAACAAAACACCTCAAAGGCTCAAACAGCATTCACGAGAAGTGGTCATGGAGTTCCTTTTATGAGCATGAATTCTAATAAAAAAACTTTTCTTTTGGTCATTGTTGTTTGCTAAACATTTCATTCAAAGAAACTTGGGCAGATAATGCAATCCTAATTGACAAATATGAAGTTGACTAACCTCTCTCAACATCTTCACCCATTTACTGTAGGCAATCACCAGTAAAAGATGGTCAGATTGCTTGTCATTTATCGCCACATCACCTCCGCTGTCTGATTTGTCAGTTAGTAAGGATGATTTGGCCCTTTCAGCATTTTGTTTCTGCAACATAAGAAAACCTGATCATGGCAAGGAACACAGATACAACTCTACAAAAATCAAAGGATGGATAAGAAGTGCCTGTGCCATGTAAAAGTACCTCATCCTTAGGATAAAGAAATGGTAATTTATAACTCAAAAATGCCGCAATTGAGAGGATTGGTGATAAGCATCCAAATATCCCACCATAAAGCATCATCTGTGGCAACAGGCACAGGAAACAGAAAATACCAAAAGAATTTCAGAAGAATACCACAGAAAAAGGATCCCATCAAGGAATAAATACTAAACAAATCTAACATCCCAATAAGGATTATTTAGCTCTTATATTATGGGAAATTTATCAAAGTACACCTAAGATTTTGAATTATTTGACATCTTACCCATAATTTTTTAACAACTGTCAGATAGCCCATCAGTCTTTTGAGCAAATTTTAAAGGAAAAAGTTTATATAAGGTTGCAATCTTAAAATATAGAATTAAAGATGAGCCTCAAAATTCCATTGGAAAAGGTTGTTTTATTGTTGGAAAACCTTCTAATTGATCATCTCGACATCGAGATATATAAATATAAAAAAAAAAAAATTGTCTCCCAGAAATAGTGCATCTTGCAACACATTATCTAGACCGTCCATTTTCAAGATTTTCATATGTTAAAGATCTACTTGATTTTAACCATTTTTGGAGTTTAAAATTTTATAATTAGATGTGAAAATATATTTTCAGATCATCCTAAGAATTTTTTACACCAAAATTACACGTTAGGATAAAATTTGGAGATGCGACTGGATTGTTTAAGGTTGCAACATTATAGAAACCACACCCAATTTTAAATAGCCCATCAAATGACACATCAAAATGGGTTTTGAAATTTATCAAAATACACCCAGCTTAAAATGTCAAATAGTTCAAATTTTAGGTGTATTTTGATCAATTCCCTTATATTATTCTATCTATTCAAATGGAGTGCAAAATGTAAATTCTACAGTTCATCCAAAATTACTCTTGAATACAAGTTTCATGTTCCATCTATCATGCAATCATAGTTATTTATCACTTCCACAAACTAGAGGAGTTGCACCCAATACATTCGATACCAAAAGCATAAGGGAGTGTGCAAGTGAGCTTCACTCAAGAAGAACCAAAAATCTCAATTTTCTACGGTTGCTTGACCAAATAGAAATGATCATTACAACATTTTACATAATATGTTGGACTGTTGAATCATAATCAATGATGAATGAAGAATCTCTCCATAGCAATTATAATTTCCTATTTCTCCATGATGAATGAAGAATCTCAATCATAATTTCCAACTTCTCCATTCAACCCTAACATAAATTCTGCCAAAACCAGAGGATCAAGACGTTAAACATACTGGTGCCCTACGTTTTTAAGAAGGGCACCATAATAGAAAACTAGATATCAAAAAGAACGTAGTTGTAGAGGGAACCTTGCCAATCTGCACATCCACAGGGAGTCTAGAAAGATGATGCCCCAGAGATGTCAACTCCTCATAACCTTCAAGGGCTCCAACCTTCTCACAATTTCAAAAAAAAAAAAAAGAGGAAGAAGAAGAAGAAAGTGATTGTAAGAAAAACACATTCAATATACAGAAAAACAACAAATACGACAAGAACAAAGTCTATAATAAAAGGATACCTTGGTAACATATAAAATGTTTCCAATAGCAAGGTTGCAGCTCAGAAGTGTGATTTCCTTGAATATGTGATTACTGGCATACCAAAAACTAAATGTAACATACATAGATTGGTCATCAAATGTTGTCGCTACTGGCTAGAATTTGCATGGAAATCACACTTCTGAACTGCAGCCTTGCTATTAGAATACATCGAGACCTATGTTTTTGGGTAGTGAGTGCACCTAAAGAACATAGTTGATACACAAAAGAAGAGCCCATTTGGATATATTGTTAGAGAAGTCATTATGTATAGAATATAGCAGTGTTTCAAAAAGTGTTAGGTGGGTCCTAGGCAGATTGGGGGCTCCAGGCCGCCCAACGCCTAGCAAGCGCTCAGAACCTGGGCAGCCCAATTGAATCCAAATAAGGATTCTGCAGTTATTTGAGTATCAGACTATCAGTTATATTCATATTATACTACATATTAGCATTTAACACACATTCCATAAGCATAAGCATAACCAAAATCTATAAGTCGGTTCATACTCCATAATCCATATCCAATTAGAACTTAAAATATTCCAACCAACCAAATTATAAAACTATGAAAGTAATACTTGAAGACTCAAAAGAATCTTCAATAGTTCAAATGTTCAATACACAATACTTCAATCAAATTTCAAACTTCAAAGTAACAAGGTTTAATAATTATTCAACAATCAACATTCATTCATCATCAGAAAATCATGGGTCAGCTGCATTGGCATCATATTCATCAGAGTCGACAAAGTCATCACCCTCCTCGACATATTGTGACTCGTCTTCCTTTGTCTCTTGTGAATCTACCTCTTCTTCCTCCTCATCCTCCACCCTTGCTCTCTGTGTAGAAGCTCTAGTGGCCCTAGGAGGGTCAGCTGATGTCCCTGAAACATCCATGACCATGTCCCATGTCAAGCCTTCATGCCCCTCGACCTCATCATCATCAACTAACCACTCCATAGCATTGTCCCTATTTTTTGATCTGATGGGGTCTCTATTATCTCTCTTAGCAAATCTGTCCTTCAAGAATCGATTGTACTTGACATAGACAAGGTCATTGAGCTTCTTTGATTCAAGCCTGTTCTTTTTCTTTGTATGAACCTAACAAAATAAAATGAAAGTGAACTAATTAAAATCTAATATCTATGATTCATGTATTATTTATAATACAAATTACCCTTATGGCCTTAACCCTTCAAAAGTACTCCAATTGCGCTCACAACCGGATGAAGAAGTGGTTAGGTTTAAGATCCGAATGGCCAACTTTTGTAAATTTGGAGAACTACACCCATGTTGGCTCCACCAATGGGCTGCAAAGAAATAAAAAAAATCATAAATAAATAACAGAAATACTTGATTACTTGAACAATTGAACTTAATGAAGATGAACTTAAGAATATTATTAATATAATAATATTTAATACCTGGATTAATTTTGGTCCTTTGCCTCACCGCCATTGGACTCCCAAAAGACTTTAATGAGCACTTGTAATTTATCAGCTCATCAGCGCAGATAATATAATGCATTTCAAGTTCAGGGACTAGCACCTCTACACACTCATTAAATCCATCCATAATTGTGTCATTTGTTTGTACATCCTTGCCAAAATAAAACAAAGCTAGGTTCAAAAAATAACCAACTGCATGCAATGGCTGATGTAGCTGCTTATCCCACTTCTCATCAATAATCTCCCAAACAGGCTGATAGCGGGTTTCTTCATCATTAAAATTTTGGGCTTCTCTCTTTTGTATTTCTCCATAGCATATCATATATATAGCCCATAGAAGGCTTGTCATCATCAACCATGAGAAGGACTTTGATAAGAGGAAAAAATACCTTAAGAGCGTCCTTCACCCCTCGCCAAAAAGCCTTAGAAAGTATTCTATCTCTCACCTTCTTCCCAACCTGAGCCTTAGACCACTTACATGCTCTTCACTCATCTGAGGTAAGCATTTGCCTCAACTGTACTCTCCTCGAATATATGTTTCTAGGTATAAGCACCAGGTCACAAATCTCGTGACCCCAAGCCTCACAATCTCTTTCTTCTTTGTAAAGGTACGCATCATGCTGAGGGTAACATGGTGGCTATAAATGAAATTTGTAACATACTTGGCCTTCTTCACTGCACCTGATATCTCGGTTAAACCGCCAAGAGCTTCAAGCATGAGGTCTATACAATGTGCTGCACATGGTGTCCAAAAGATTCTAGGATAAGCTACGCACAACAAATTAGATACAGCAACATTAGGAGCAGCATTATATGTCACAACCTGTACAACAAGATGCTCCCCAACCTCCTTGATTCCCTTCTCTATCACTTGAAATATGTAATGGGCATCATGGATATGATCGAAGGCATCAATAGACCTTAAAAAAAATAGTCCCTACTGGACAATTCACAAACAAATTCATTTGACTTCTTCTCTTCCTATCACTCCAAGCATCAGTCATAAGAGAAACCCTATACTGAGCCCATGCATCTTTCTTAAGTTTTGCAGCTTCCTTCGTGGCACTCACTGCCTTTTTTAAAAAAGGCTCTGAAAGCTCATATGGGGTTGGGGGTTTCTTCCCATCGCCAAATTGGCCAATTGCCTCTGCTGCAGCATAAAAGCTACTTAAGCGAGCGGTATTGAAAGGAATGCCCGCCTCATAAAACCATGTAGCCAAATAATACGCAGCTCTATCTCTCTCTTCCTTCTTGATTCTATTTTCAATGGTGGTTTGCTTTTTTGTTTTCTCTCCTGCAATCTCAGGGTCAGGCCGAGGTAAGAAACTATCCATAGGGCCTCTAACTCGAGCCTTCTTAGTCCCAGAACCAGAAGCAATTACAACTGCCTTCTCCTTTCCCCTAACAATGGATTGTTCAACCTCTTGACATCCCTCCCCAATCCTTTCCTCATCACTATCATCATCATCATCAAAATTGACTCGAACCCCAGACCTATCTATGCTGTAGAGGCAAATCTCTCATCTTTTTTCATTTTCACCAAGTTCATAAAATTCTTTATTTCCTCTTTAACAACATCAGGAGTCTTTTTACATGGGGCAACATCCCCCCTAATACCGGCAAGATGTTTCTTGAACCGTTTATGTCGTCTTTTGTATCCTTTTCACAAAATTGCATCTTACGCAATTTTTATCACTAAGATATGGGTTATAGCCATCTTTACAACCGGGATCACCACTCCTATTAGATCCAGAAGAAGACATGTAAAAAATAATGCAAATTACTAAAGCAATAAAAAAAATCACTTAGTTTGAGTTTGATTGATCAATCTTCAAACTTGCACCTCAAAGATGTTTCTAAATACTCAAAATATTCTAAAACACCCCCTAATAACTTTGCAAAACATCAAAAAGTAAATATAATATCAATGGGTGATGTTTTGATCAATTTTGGTTAACTTTGAGTAACCCTTCGATCTTAAAAAATTCACCACAATCTAGTTTTTGGTGGTTTTCTCTCTCCAAATTTGGCTCAAACAAGATTTAGGTTTCAAATGAACTTAAAACCCTAATTTTTGGGCCTTAAAAACAAAAAAAAGATGTAAAATGATTTTTGGGTTCCGTACCGCCTAGGCGGCCGCTTAGGGATTGACCCACCCAGATTGACTGCCTAGGCCTGGGCGCATCGAACCGCCTAGGCGCTGGGCGGTTCACTTTTTTAATCACTGGAATATAGAATAGAAATTGAGCATGAAGAGGAAATCGAGGATGAAACAATAAGACTATCATCTAAAGAACTCGAATTATATATTATTAAAGATCCAGCCAAGGAATAGTTGGTTGAAAGAGACCTTGAATAAGTAACATGTGTGAGTGCGCAATGTAAATCTAATCATATTGGTAACAATTCCCATTATTTTTTAGAATCTAAGCTTGAAAGAATTTTGGAAGGGCCATACAAAGGAAAGTTCAATTTCCAAAGGGCTATACAGAAAATCTTTTGTGAAACAGATAAGGATATTTAGAGTCACCTATATATACATTTTGTTATGAGGATGCAATGTTGTGCTTCCAGAACTCCAATGTACGACATTTTTGATAAGTGGACGAAACGGGTCACATAATAATGAGTTAATTTTTCTTTTATAACTTGAGAGAGTGTCTCAAGCTTTCAATCATTACTTGGCACTATACCTCATATAATGTCGCAATTGCTGAGCTTACTGCCTCCTCCCGTGGTGGGTCCATAGCCTGAAATGCCGACACATTACTGAACATCACATTAAAACCAAATATTTCATATCAAATACTATCAAAACACTCAAAGAGATTGCACGATAAAATGAGGTGAACTTTATGTTAAAACATTTGGAACTGCTTGGGGACCTTCAGAAGAAACGATTTCACATCTCCAAAAGAAAGAGACTTGATTTGAAGGCACAATTCAACCAATGGAACGCGCAGCATCTCTGGTACCTTAAAGTGGAGAGAAATCTAATTATATTATTTGCAGTAGTTATTGTAAATGTGAAAATGCAAAGGAAACAGCATATAGCACAATAATAACAAGTTGAACAGTGAAGCATACTCAAAACAAGGCCCTGCTACCTGATATGGGCGCATAAGCTTTTCGTATCGATGTTGTGTATATAAGCAGAAGCAGTTTCCAGGTTTTACACGCCCTGCCCTTCCATGCCGTTGTTTCGCATTTGCCCGAGATATCCAGTCCTCAACAATGGATGACATTTTCTGACAGCAATAAAGTAACAGGCAGTTGGAGATCGATACAAGCCTCATATGATTAGAATAATCGAAAGTCTCAATACATGGATTTAAAAAAATATGCAAGAATATTGACAAACAATCTTGCCAGTCATGAAAATAAATCATAACTCATCCTTATTAAGTTGTTGTGTCTGGAAACCGAAAATGGTATTCCCTCAACCCTCCTACCCACCCAAAAAAAAAAAAACCCAACAATCAACCACACCCTCCACCCCACCCAAAAACAAAAACAAAACAAAACAAAAAAAAACCCACCTACCACCAACCAAGAAAAAAAAGGGTGGTGTTCCCAGCAGCACAATCCACTCAACCCAAGTATACTTCTTACAGTGAGTGAAACTATAGAGATTACGAAACAGAAACCCTAGATGACTAAGATTTAAATATCTGCCTTCCCTAGCCCATTGAACCACAACCCACATAACACCTACATTGATACTCTATCCTCTCACTATATCCCAAATCCAAGGCCTACCATGGAAATTAATTAGTCAAAAATATCCAAAGTATTTTTTACCCCGAGTACCCCTCAGTTTTACATTCGGGATATTACCTTCCAAAGGAAAAGAAAAGAAAAGAAAGAAAATATCTTTAGTAAGTAGTGTAACTAAGGATTCACAGCTCAACAACATTTATAGTTGTTGGCCCTCAAATAAATTAGATAAATGATACTTGAAAATTTCAGCAGAATCATACATTTCAAGAGAGAGATAACGTTGACACTTTCATGGATGTAAACAGTACATAGTTTCACACCACGCCAATTCAATATTCAATGATAACAACAATGACGAGTGAAATGGCATACCTTCTGTGGGTTGTAACGGTTCTCTTTGTGCTTTCCAGTGTCAATAACATACACCACGTCATCAATTGTTATGCTAGTCTCTGCGATATCTGTGGCCACAATAACCTGTGGGAAGCAGTTGGTGAAATGGCAAATTTCATGACAATGAGCTTCACAGAGTAAGGGGTGGCATGGGTGTCGTAGCCAGGTCTATCTTGACTAGCATTAAATGCGATTACAGTCAAAACAATTTTAAAAAAATTAAGTCACATGTGTTTAGGGCCTTATTTGCAGCATTTTTCAAACAAGAGGGTTAGAAAGCAGACATAAACAAACACATTGCACAAAAATTCCTGCCCTACTGTGTTACAATAATAGTATTAAGCATCGTTAGTCATCCATCCAAATAGGCCCTAAGATAATGAAAATACTAGAGAGTTTCATTTCTTTAATTTTAGGAAGAAAGGGTTAAGGAGACAACTGGAATGTCTCAAATAAAATATTAAAAAATACAATAATAAGTCTAAACAGAAAGAATAATGGAAAGAAAACCAAATTATCAGTTTGATAATTCACACGCCTTCACTTAAAAGGAAGTTTATATTTCGGTGGTTCAGGAATTGTCAGAGTTTGAAAGTTGAGGCCCATAATTATATTACAGCTAGCCTGTGGCCATGCACTTCGGAACCAACCAAAGCTTCTGGTATTTAATCTTACAATACTCTCTCCTACAGTGATGCAAACTGCATAAAAGAGCTGGACTGAGTGGAATGGACATGATTGGGATTATTCTCATCCAAGAGCTGGGCGAGCCAAATTTTCATTTAAAATAAAGTCGTTTGGACTTATTTCTTTTGTCCATTCTTTTTGTAAAATGTAGCCAATAAGCTGGGTTTTAATTGAATGTCAAGGGTAGAGGAGCGTGGCATGGAATCCCACTATGGTCAAAGCTAGGTTATTTTGTTCCAATAATCCAAGTTCCCATAAAGTCAAAGGGCCAATGCAATGACAGTCTCAAAGTAAAATAGCAGGTTCCAACGGATGGGGCTTGGATGCATGGGGTTTGCTTGCACGGGGACTTGGAGTGATAGGGTAGCATAGGCACTTCTATTTTCCTAGATGACCAATTTAGGGACATGGTGAGCTAAGGTAGTTTAGCTTTCTCTTTATTTAGACAGTCAACTAGTCATAGACAGTCAACTTGTCATTCTCTAGTTAGGTTTTAGAGTGGGAGAGTCCTACAAATATCTCTCTGCTGTACATGAAAGCTAGTTGTTGAGGCTATTGATAAATGAAATTAAATTTCCTTTGACATCGTGTAGATGAGATGACCCTACTCGGTGTAGCAGTCCAACCCTACTTGGAGTAATGATGTGGTAGGTTTGAGGGACCTTCTTCCCTTCCTTTGAGGGTGATCAAAGTATTGTAGCTGGGGCTGGCAGACCCTTGTTTCTTTCCCTTTCTTATCAGTCATCAACAAAGTGAAAGTGGGCTACATTCCACTTATTTGATAGACCAATAGATCAATGAGTTTCGTGTTGTTGCTGAATCAGTCTCAAATCTTCCCGTTCCAACCACTCAGTTTGGCCCCATACAATATTTTTATAACTAAAAATCTCTACCCGATGGGTTCGAGACTGATCCTCAAATATAAAGCAGAAGTCCATCAGAAGTGAGATTTGAGGCAGAGTGGTAATGGTGCATTGCAAGACGGGAATCCATACAGAACCAAACAAACATTAAGGCAAACTAAAACTAGTTATTGCTGCTTTGGATCACAGAAGCATAGATCCATTTGAATTTTCCTGTATTAAACACAATACATTAACATCCAAAAGGTATCCATGGTAGCCTTCTACAACCTTTAAACTGGCAAGTAACATCAACTACTCATAAAAACAATTGTGAAATTCATCCACATCAAAGTAACATAAGCACACCTCATAGACATATTAAAGTAATCAAAATAATAATGGAATAACTACAATTACTATGTTGATAAAACAAATAAAATTAATTACCAAACTGAAAAGCAAGGGCAACCAAAATGCAGAAAATATATGAACACACCAAGCAGAAATAATACCTTGCGAATATTTTCAGGGGGAGATTGAAAAACTTTACGTTGGTCAGAGGCTGAAAGGGATGAATGTAAAGGCAGAAGCCAATCACCTGACAACCCCCCCAATTGGTAGGAAGCAGCCAATTTATCTAGCAAATTATGTATATCTCCCAGTCCCTATAACATCCATTGCAATTACAGTGGTATGTTAAACAAGAGACGAGACAAAAAAACACATAGTACACATAAACAATGAAATCCTAGACCAATACAAAATAAGTCTCAGATCACTTACTGGCAAAAATACTAATATAGAACCTGGAGAATAATTTCTGTTTATGAAATAGATCAAATCTTCAAGAAGATCATAATCTATCACATCTTCATTCAAATTTTTCTGCAATAAAAGGTGCATATCAACCATTCAAAAACAATTTGAATAAAATATCCACAGGCAAGAACATGCGACAAGGCACCACATCTCATTATAAAGCTTGAAGTAGCGCACATACCAAATTTTGGTGGGTCCTTTCAGTGTATGCTGCATATAAGCCACCATCATAGTGTGGATTAATATAGTTTTCAGTCAGTAAATCATCATCACCCCATGCACCTAACACAAGGTTCTTTTTTCCTCTGCGGTTCGCAATAGGATTCCTCCCAAGCTACCAAACAAATGAAATATACAATTTGTGAGGGGAAGAACAATAAATCCAGCCTTGTTAAAATACAATCCTTACTTATGAAACAAATACAAAAAAGAAAGAAGAAAATGAAGAAATGCGACTCTTGAAAGATGCAAATGTGTGTATATGCAGTGAAAACCAAAACTCGGACAAAATGCATGGAAAAAGCATCAAAAGCAGAGAGGAGATAAATGTTATCATAACAAACATGGATGGATATCCTAAACATGCAAAGAAATACTGTCATGAGAATGAGGCACAAGCCAAAAGCTTATTGACAATTATCTCAGATAAGTTGAATTGATTTTGATTTTCTCACGAGAAAATCATGGGCCGATAATATCTCCCATATTATTGTTTTTCATTTTGATTGTTATCGATTGTTATTGTTGTCTAAGGTTATAAGGTTTGTACAATATTATCTCGATGATAACCTTAGACAACAATAACAATCAACATTTTTGAAACTGAACAATCAACATCTTGAGAACTAAATTTTAATAATAATTAAACAACCCAAATAAAAAATCCCTTTCTAATTATTGTCATAGTTATCTAAAAAGCAGTAAAATTCTATGATTTTAGTTTTTTTGTGTTATGATTTGATAACCCTCTTATCTACCCAACTAAAATAAAATAATAATAACCTCTTAGATGTTGAAACAGGGATCCTGAAAGTTAGATCCCATACAATCGTGTCCTTAACTGGCTACAAAAAAATTCTGCGGGAATACGAGCCACAATACAAGAAATAAAGCATAAAATACATACACTACAAGAACATCAAAATTTTCATGGCAAACTGGAATCCACTTTACCAATAAGAGCTACATCCTGAATTTTGGGGCATAAAGTTACCTCTCTAGCCCTTGACAAAACTCAGCCGAGCAAACCTTTTACACCAGCTCTCCCGATTGACAGTCTTTGCCGATCTCCCATCTCTACTTCACAACTAAACTATTGTCCAGGAAGAGAACCTCGATAGCAATTGAGACTCTCTCACTAAAAAGGGAACCACCCAAACTCTCCATGGGAATCACTTCTTCAAGAAACTAGCCTCTTACTCTCCTGGAGACACCATTATAGTATTTCTCCATACAAAGCTCACTTCTCTCTACGAGGAGGCCATGCCTCTCAGGCACATGAGGCCCCTACCCCTCTCTCTAGAGAACGCCAATTTTCCCATATGGTGCCCCAAATAGGGCACACCCATTATGTCCTCTCCCATTCCTCATATACAAGGTTATGAAGAATCCTAATCTAGGGTATCCCAACTAAGGAAAGTTATTGGTATCAATACCAATATCAATCCCATGTAACACGAGATTTCCTTATAAGGAAATTTTTGGATAAGGATTGTCCACAAAGAGACCATTTATCTTTTGTACATAGAGGTCACAATTATTCTCACTCATAGATGTCAAATTGGATGGCTTGGGTTGAGTCAGGAAGCTCGAGAATTTTTTTTTAGAACTTTGGGTCTATTCAATGACACTCTTACAGCCACTCATTTTGAAATTCAAGGAATAAGAAAAATTGTGATCTCCATATACAAAAGATAAATGGTCACTTTGTAGAGAATCCCTTTTGGATATCACCATATCTAACAATCTCCACCTTGAGATCAAAATCATATGCTCACCATGCCAACATCCATCAGATAGCTTTATAAAAATTCTTCCTTTTTGCCAAATATATTCCTTCATCGTTCTTGTTGAAAAGATTGTGCTTGCCATTATATTTCTCCACCTCAAATAGAACAATAGCATATTTTGCCACATGCTTTTCTTTAACGAATGCACAAACCCTAGCCTTGTATTGAACCATGCGCTTTGATACCAATTGTTAGGATTTTATAACCTTCTTAGATGCGGAAACAAGAAAACTAAAAGTTGGATTGCACTACAATTGTGTACTTAACCAGTTAGAAATAAATTTAATATAAATATGACCATAATACAAGAAATAAAGCATAAAACATACACATCATATAAATATTGAGATTTATGTGGCTCAACTCAACAGAGCTACATCCAAGAGCATGGAAAACTAAAATCCATTATACCAATGAGAGTCGCATCACAAATTTTGGGACACAGAGTTACCTCTTTAGCCCTCGACAAAACCCAGTTGAGCACTCGTTTTAGACCAGCTATCCTGACTAACATTCCCCACCGATCTCCAATCTCTATTTCATAGCTAAACTACTGTTCAAGAAGAGAACTTTGAGAGCAACTAAACTATCTCACTAGATTGAAAAACCAACCAAAATGTCCATCGGACTCGCTTCTCTATCAGAAACCACCATCATAGTGTTTCTCTCCATAGGAAGCTCACTTCCCTCTAAAAGAAGGCCTTGCCTCTCAGCCACAAGAAGCCCCTACCTCTCTGTCTCTAGAGGAAGCCACCTCTCCCATATGATGACCCCAAATCGGGCACACCCATTATGTCCTCTCTTATTCCTTATAGTAGGTTATGAATCTCATACCAGATAAGAATCCCATAGATGTCACATACATCTCAAACTAAATATATAACCAAGACTCCTAATCTAATTGGACTTCAATGGGCATCCCAACTAACTTAGAAAATTTATCAACATCAATATCAGTATCAATCACATATAATATAGGATTTCCTTATGGGGGTGGTTTTTGGATATCACCATATCCAACATTTGAACGCTAAACTTTTGAAAAATCATAAATATAGTTTAAAATTTAAAATTTTAAAAACTAAAGTCGTTGTCCAAGAAATACCTTGAAAATTTGTCATCTTAATTTTAAATTTTAAGCTTACTCAAATTTTCACTTGAACATAGAGCCAGATTTTAAAAACTTGACTAACTAAGTGGCCCTCACATGGAGTTTATATTTATTTTATGATAGAGAGTCGAAGAACATAATCAAACTTTCATATATTAACTTTCCGATTTTTTTATAATTACCTGATAAAACACCCAACCAACAATTTCCTAATAAAATTTCTTGACAATAATATCACAATAATGATAATTGTCACTAAGGCCAAACACATCATACTCATTTCGAGAAGGAAAAAGTGAAGCTGCATTCAAGAACATATTCCATGTATGATCAACCGACCAAGAAACAAAATATTTCAAGAAACATTTTTAATAGTTTAAGATTGATGAATTTCATGAAAATCTTAGAGAATTAAAACTTCCAAGTTATACTCCTTCCTAACATGGTGATCTGCATCTTCATTCAGCAGTAGGAATTTTTCTACTGTCATTAATTGATTAAAGACAAAACGAGGGTATAAATTAAGAAGAAATTCTACTCTTCAAACGTAACTAGTCCACACCAATGGAGAGAGACAATATAAAAGAATGCTAGCCAAAACCCAAATAACCAAGTGACCAAGATGAAATTCACAGTCCTTCAAAATGTAAAATGGCTCCATCAAACAAGTTCTCATGTATTATCATATCATGTATACACATCAACATCAACGATTCTATGCTAATGGGTTGAAGGGCACACGTACACTCTGACAATGAAAAATTGAAGAAGCCCTTTTGTAAATTATGCCAACTGTAGGCTCACAGAGAAGATCCATGGGGAAAAATCAAAAAAATTGGGCAATAACCAACTAGTAAATGCATCTAGGTATTCTTCGCTAAATTTAACTGACACTGGCCCAAAAGATCAGGCACACAAATATACAACAAAAAGAATAGTTTCTGCAGACCAACTAAACCAAGTAAAAGAAACTAAAAAGAACCGTGTATTTGCAGAGTATATTTGCTGATAATCTACCAAATGGCTTCTACTTCCACGTCTTGAAAGAAAGGTACACTCAATAATCATTTTCTGCAAACCTTATCCTTTATAGTTGATATCGCCATAAGTGAAGAAGGGGAATCTGAGGCAAGTCGGTATTCAAGATTTTCATAAATATCTTCGAGGAAGCAGGTGGACACAGGATGTGTTCTCCCTTGAGCAGTGACAATGGGACACCCTCCAAAGTACTTCGAGAATAAACTCGCATCAACTGTTGCAGACCTGTATAGATGGATTGTGAACTTTAAAACAGAGTAAACAACAAACGATCACATTATCTCATAAGAATGAAAGATAAGGAAAACCATACATGAGAACAACTTTAAGTTTGGACGTTCTGCACGAAGATTGCCTCTCAATTAGGTCCCTCAAGACAATAAGTAGAAAGTCATTCTGTTGCAATGGTACTGATCAATGTTAGTGCCTTAATCGACAAAAATAGTCACCATGAAATGAAGGACGGTTATCTTTTTTACAGGCTAATGAAAAAAGTAATTAAGAGTTGAAGAAAAGAGACACAAGGAGAATTGAAGAAGAGAAAGTCAAGGAGAAACATTATGCTACAATCTATAACTAGACTTTCATGGAAACACATAAAAAGATTTATATTCAAACGAGTCAATGAGAGGAAGCAAATACAATAAAACAGAGAGAAGGTTACTTAGCAAAATCATTAAATGCAATAGAAAAGCCAAAAGTGATCCTAAACAACCGTTTATAGGAATACTATGAGTCTTACGAACAGAAACCTTAATAATGCATAACCAAATGAAATGCAAACAAGAAAAGTGCAATTGAACAAGTCTTGAAACAAGAGACATGTAAAAACCCTATTATCCTCTAAAGAGTGGGGAGGGGGTGGTTAAGAATATCATCATCCCAGCCTTATCCCATGAAAAAATGGTGGAGAGGAGACAGAGTAGAGAGAGAGAGAGTCTTAGCTCCCATCACTAAGCATATGGATTAGGAATGCTAAATTTCATAAGTTCCTGTTTGATTTGAAAAAGGAAACAAATATTTATATTCTCACGAAATGACCAGTATTGATCCTCGATGAGAACAGTTTCACACAATCATGGACAAGCCAGATATCGCACATTTAAACTTGAACAACTTGAATACAGACCAAAATAGTTGCCAAATTGGATAGGAATGCTAATTCATTACCCATATATAGCATAATTAAACAACAACACGACATCAAACTAGAAACAAAAGAGTACACAGCAAGAAGTCATATAAAGAAGCAAAGCTAGTTAATTTGTTTTTGACCAATTATGAAGTTGGTAAAGACTTTTAGAAGTCTGTAAGTAATTTATACATCACACCAAAAACAATTGAAGAGTAGCTGGTTATGAATGTAAAAATAGTGAAAGTAACTTATACATCACATCACTACACAAGTGGCATCAAGTAACCTACCAAGAGAGACCGCTCATGCACCTCATCAACTATGACATGTGAAATATCAGTCAAATATCTGTCACCCTGTACAGTTAAAAATCAAAATCACTCAAATGTGATTAAATTAAAAGATGAACCTATCCACTCCAAATTTAGCATCAACAATTTAAAAAAAAGACTATGTCAAAATAAAACATTATACAAATTAATCATATAGAAAACTAATCGTAAATAAGAGGCAATGCAAGACATTTCACATTTATCAAGCAAATGGAGACATTGTTAGAATAAGTTTAATCGATCATTTCTGTAGGTCAATATCTAGTAGCGCTAACTTCAAGTTGACTAATTACATAAAAAGCAATTCTCAAACTAGAATTAAGTGTTGAATACAAACCAAATGTCATGGTATTTTTCCACCTTTTCTTCTTCTCTAGACTAAGAACATCAAAAGTTATCTTGAGATGAACCATTCAGGTAATACAAAAAGTGTTTCTCAGCAGAAGTCTGGGCTGGACTAGCCCTACGGATGGGCTCAGGCTGGGTCCAGCAGGGCTGCTTATCATGTCAGGTCAATGTGACCTGGCTCCGGTCTAAGTCCCTCTGCTAGACCTGACAGGTCAGGTAGGATCTATGTCCACCAGCCCAACCTGGGTGTATGATAAACAATATTTATGTATAAATATATACCATATATTATATATTATTCATATATAATAAGTCGGAGTTATCATGTTGGAATCAGTTGCCAATATGAACCTCACCTAGTCAATCTAAAAATCCATTTGACCCTCCAAACCAGTGACCCTGAAAACTAAATTGACACAGCCAAGATCAGGTCAACCTGCCAAAAACTACAAAAGCTAAACAAACAACACCAAAATCCTCATTCTTGGAATAGGTATGCCACCATGTTCACCATGCTGATTTCCAACACCTCAATACCTCAAGCAAACATAAGACAAGGACCACTTATCCCAAAAACGCTCAGTCACATAACGACAAAACCACCAGTGACCATAGACATAGTCACCCCTTGAAGATCTGTATGTTGCTCTCTTTCAAGCACCCACAAGATGGAGTAAAAGGCAAAACTCAAATGACATTTTTACAATCTTTGTCCTCTTCCTCCTCTTTAAGATTGTCATTATACCCTAAGGGAAGGTGTCGCTATGCCCCAGCTGTTTCCGCTCAAAAGACTCAAATCAAGGACTCAGACCCAGTATCAGGAAAGATGCTCTGAACCTTCCCACCCATACGGGATAACGGCTGGCCAAAAGAAAATCGTCCAAAATAAACCCATCCCTTGCCAAGCATCTTCTCCAAGCCACCAGCCTAGAAGAATGAAAATTAGGGAATAAAATTTTCCCAAAGAAAATTAAGCCAACTAAATTTGCCCAAAAAATTCAGCACATCTGAACCAATTGGTTCAACCATAATTTCACAAACATATTAAACCCTTTAAAGCTACATCAAATAAAGTGCCATGGACACATCCAACCAATGAATGAATGCTCATTAAGAAGTGATGAAGTAGAGACATCAACAATTGCAGGGCTATCAGAAATATAGAGCGCTAATTGGCCAAGGGCGCTAAAATAGGGAGAAAATTTGAACTCACAGCCAGCTTTCTAAGAAGAATGCCTGTGGTGCAAAACAGGAGCCGTGTTTTCTCGTTCCTGGTAAATGAAATTAGTTAGAACATGCACTTCATATTATTTGAAGAAGGTTGTTTCTGGGAAGGGAGAATAGTTAGCGATGTATGTTACTGCAGGTTTTAAGAGACGTAAGCATTCTGGTGAACATTCAAAGCACAATAATACAATCAAACAATATACAAATACAAAGCGGCACAGGCATTATGCACAATATATCCCCATAGCATGAAGTTACTTTTAGAGTTTCCAATAAAGTTCCATCTAGCATGATGAAAGCAAGTAACTGCAACTATTTAAATGCTTTATTGGCTAAACAGAACTACTTAAATGCAAATGCTTTTGATGTGCCATCTTAATGGAATGCTTTCTAGATTCATCGATTGTGGTCATGGGCATCGTACTGGGTCCATATGAATTTTTTCTATGTTCCTTGTGCAATCATTCACCAGAGAGCAAAATAAATTTTTCTCTGAGTTGCCTACTAGTTCAAGCATAGAAGAAAATTGATAAAGATAAGGACTAAATTATAGACAGGAGGTCACCTTGCACTGTCGAGGCGAACTTGATAGCCAACTAGGGAGCCATTTGATCCTGGTGGAGGTTCACACCGTTCTTCTGCCACTCTTTCTGCAACAGAAATGGCCTACATAGGGGAACTCTAGAAATTCAGTCTACTGAATCCATGTAAATTTGCAAAAACAATAGAAGCCTGATTACACACCATGTAAATTTGCAAAAACAATAGAAGCGTGATTACAAACTACTTCATATTGACTATAATGTTATTTCAATTGGAGGAGAAATCCAGAAGCGATTAGCTACTCTTCGTATATTTGGGAGCAGTGGACATAGCTCAGAGAACTGCTATGTGAAAGGGCAATCATGAGATTCTTCATGCAGTCTCTCTTGTATATCCCACTACCATACCAGATTACAGATATTGAATTCGCCCTTGATATTAACTATTACAATGTGTAAGTAGTTATTATTGTACAGTATGTACTATCCCTTAAAAGTACATTTTTTCTATAATAAGCCGAGAACATGGGTCTCTTTTTCAGTTTTTTTTTTTTGTTCCTAAGGTACTAAGAGCATAAGTTCATCTAAACTTTTTTGACAGTCCCTGAGTAATTTGCAACATGATAGTCTCAATAGAAAATATCTTGATGGTCTTCTAAATAACAGCACATTTCTATTGACTTGAGTATTATCGATGTCATGCTTAAAAAAAAAGCAATTATTGTCAGAGGCTAACCAGAAGCACTCGGCAATTCATAAAAGGAAAGAGAATACAAAATATTAAAGGCACGTACATGAAAATTCTTATTGAGAAAGTCCAAAATCTTTGTAATGATAACATACCGCTATTCTCCTAGGTTGTGTGCAAACAATGTTACAAAAACCACCAACACCTGTTTTGATCATGTCGTCCAGAATAAATTGTGGAACCTGCCAAATGTGATAGTGAGTAAAATGAAGAAGGGAAACAAAGAGAAAGAAATACAACTGACATACTCAAGCATCCCAAAAATTTCTCAAGTTGCAGACATCATATTAACCACAAACACAAAAAGCGAGATACTGAAGCAAGAAAAGGTATATATGAGATATAACAGTTCAACGAGGATATTAAAATTGCACCTGAGTTGTTTTTCCACAACCAGTCTCTCCACTAACAACAACAGCATCATGCTCATGTAGTAACTGAAGCAGATCATCCTCAAATTCAGCCATAGGAAGAGTATTTCTAGCTTCAAGCATTTTCTAGGAAAGATCAGATAAAAAAATCAAGGTCATTCATAATAGCAATTCTAAGTGAGAAATAAGAGATGCAAATTAAAGGTTTTAATGTGTGAAAAAGCATTACATAAACAAATAGAAAGAGGAATGCAGAGAGTTAAGGCATAATAAGCATGCACTTAAGCTCAAGTAAGTGACACTGGAATGTCACCACTAGAGACACTATTACAGAGAATAAAAGTTCAACATTGAAAACTTTTCAAAAGTGAAAGGACAATAAGGATGGCTGTCGTGACTAAGCACACCCACCTCCATAGACATGTTGGGAAGCATTCTGTGTGTGTGTGTGTGTGTGTGTGTGTGTGTGTGTGTGTGTGTGTGTGTGTGTGTGTGTGTGTGTGTGGTGGTGGGAGGGAGGGAGGGAGGGAGACGAACAAATAAGTAGTAATAGTCGTAGTAGTAGTAAGTAAGTTAAGTTAGTAGTTACTTACGTAGTAAGTAAGTAAGTAAGTAG